TTGCTTGGAGATTTATTCAACATACTCACAATCTTCTACATAGGAATATTATTACTAAATATGGTGATAATATTTTTGAAGGGAAGAAAGCCAGCTCATCAACTTGGAAAATTCTTCTTAATGGTGGAAAGTATCTCAGACCCATTGTTAAATGGATTGCTGTTAATGGAAAGAAAATTAATGTTTTGAATGACATTTGGCTCTTAGATAAATGCTTAAACTCTTGGCCAACATTTGCTGCCTGTGTAGAACTAAACAATGTTAATTTGGATATGTTTATCATGCCTGATGGATCTTGGAACAAAATTCTGCTATAGAATTTCTTCAATGATGATCTCATTAATCTGATTCTACAAGTCAAAATCGATTTTGAAGCTGAAGAAGATTATATGAAAACCATTTATACTCATAATGGTAGGACTATAACTGCTATGGCGTATGAAGAATCATTAAAGTATCAATCCAAGGAGGAAGATTGTAATTTTACTGATTGGATTAGAGGAATAAAACTGAACCCAAGAGTGGAACTCTTCTGGTGGAGATTGAGCAAATTTTCTATTCCAAATTTTGAATTTCTCAAATATAGAAATTTATGCCAAAATGATCAATGTCCAAGAGAATGTCATATGATTGAGAACTATGAGCATATAATAGTTCATTGTAAATTTTTAAAAGAGATTATTCTCAGATTAACAGAATGATATTTCTTTATCCCCTTGTTCCAATATCTTGAAAATTGCCTTGAAGAACTAAGAAGACATTCCTCTTGGTTTCCAAATATGGTGAAAATCTATCTTACAGCAATTTTTCTATCATGGAAAAACAGAAATCACCTAGTGCTTGGTAATTTCGTTCCTTCCAGCTCATTTGTAGCAGCTAATGTGCTGCTTTTGGCAAAGCAAAATTTATTTCCTAATCTAGATAACTGGGGTGCTAATCTCCTAAGAGAGTTTTCTTATTCTTGGCACCCTCCACCGCTAGATTGGATCAAAATAAATGTTGATGCATCTTTATTAAAGACAAACCAAGCCGGAATTGGAGGTGTTTTTAGAGATCACAGAGGAAGGCTTTTGCTGGCTTTCGGTAAAAAGAAAACTCACTGGAATATCTCTCAACTTGAATTAGATGCTGTCCTAACTCTTAAGGAATTCATACAACCTTGGATGCTTGAGGCTAAAGGAGTTATCATTGAAGGTGACAACATTAATATCATCAACTTCATTCAAAATTCTTTGAATAAGTTCAAATACCATTCAAGCACGAGATATGAGAAAGATTTTCTATTTCTCAATGATTTTAATAAGGTTTTATTTAATCATATACATAGAGATTGTAATAAAGTAGTGGATGGTTGTGCTACTTTAGCTTTAAACAATGATTTTTACTTTGATAGCTTTTCATTTGCCAACATTCCATCTAAATTGTCTAGCTTATTAAAGAAGGAATGTGAGGCATCTTTTTCTTGTAATTAGTTTCCTTTGCTTCAATGCCAATTACAGATTTGCATTTTTCAAAAAAAAAAAAAAAAAACATCGCCTGTAACATCAAACCATCTCCTATCCTCACCCCAACCTTCACCACGATTGCACCCAAACCTAAACTCCCCTCAGCCTACCCACCACATGCTCACCTGCTTCAAAACATGTCACCTTAAGCCTCATCTACCCTTAAATGTTCTCACCTCCATCCTCCCAATAACTGAACCCACGTCATTCCAAGAAGCATTCAATCTCCCATCCTAGAAGAAGGCTATGGAAGCTGAATTTAATGCCCTTCAACGCAATGACACCTGGTTACTAGTTGCTCCTGGAATCCCAAAACACCTTCCACATAAATCATTGGTTGAAAATGGACATTTCATACCAAACCCCAACAAAACACCTCTTCCCATAGCTACAAAGCCAGATTAGTTGCTCCTGGAAACCACTAAGAGCTTGGTCTCCACTTTACTAAGACATTTAGTCCCGTCACCAAATTGTCGTCCATTTGTGTCCTCCTCACCCTTGCTCTCTACAAGAACTGGCCATTACTCCAATTAGATTTCTCCAACACCTTTCTTCATGATCCTCTCCATGATACCATCTACATGAGTCAATCCAAAGGTTTTGAAGATCCTAATCACCCTCACTACGTCTTCCTTCTCAAAAAGGCCATCTATGGCCTCGAACAAGCCCCGAGATAATGGTTCGCCACCTTCTCCCATCACCTTCTATCTCTCGGGTTTCAACCAAGTAAGGTAGATCCGTCTCTATTTATAATCACCTTCTCCACTCACTCCACCTACGTTCTCATATACGTCGATGCATGACATTCTCATCACCGACACTACCTCAACCCATATCCAATACATCATACAAACAACCTCCAATCTCATACAATATTTCAACATAAAGAAAACTCATCCTACTTCTCTTCACTGTAACAACCAATCATCTATTACCCTCGCAAACAACCCCGTCTTCTATGCCAGAACTAAACATATGTAGATCGACATACTACCACTGCATCCAGGAACAAGTTCAAGCTCACCACATTCTCCTGCTTCCAATTGCCTCACATGATCAGCCACTCGACATCCATAACAAACATCTCTCCACCGATTGGTTTCAACAGCTTTGCACCAAACTCCCTTTTCAGCCACCACCATGAGTTTGAGGGGGGATAATAACACTCACGGTATCGAATTATTATTACGTCCTCTGACCTGACGTAGAGGTACGTTCGACTTCCAATAACATGTCGCCATGTGCACTTACCCTTTACTGCGCGGCCCGACGACTTGACCCAGAGCGGAACCCGGGAATGCTATGTTTGCGATTTGCTCGGTATTGCTCGGTATTTGCTCGGTATTGCTTTGCAAAAATGATAAATACCGCTCTGTGAAGACCAAAACTATACAAATACCGAGTTGTACGGAGTTTTTCTACAACTCGGTACAACTTAGTATTTGCTCAGGATTTGCTCGATATTGCTAAGGATTTGCTCAGTATTGCTAGGGATTTGCTCGGTATTGCTAGAAAAAACTTGGTACAACTCGGTATAACTCAGTATTTTCTCAGGATTTGCTCGGTATTGCTAAGGATTTGCTCGGAATTGCTAGGTATTTGCTCGGTATTGCTATAAAAAACTAGGTACAACTCGGTACAACTCGGTACAACTCAGTATTTGCTCAGGATTTGCTCGATATTGCTAAGGATTTGTTCGGTATTGCTAGGTATTTGCTCGGTATTGCTAGAAAAAACTAGGTACAACTCGGTACAACTCATTATTTGCTCAGGATTTGCTCGGTATTGCTAGGGATTTGCTCGGTATTGCTAGGTATTTGCTCGGTATTGCTAGAAAAAACTAAGTTCAACTCTGTACAACTCGGTACAACTCAGTATTTTCTCAGGATTGGCTCGGTATTGCTAAGGATTTGCTCGGTATTGCTAGGTATTTGCTCGGTATTGCTAGAAAAGACTAGGTACAACTCGGTACAACTCAGTATTTGCTCAGGATTTGCTCGGTATTGCTAAGGATTTGCTCGGTATTGCTAGGTATTTGCTAGGTATTGCTAGAAAAAACTAGGTACAACTCAGTACAACTCAGTGGATTTGCTCGGTATTGCTACGTATTTGCTCGGTATTGCTAGAAAAAACTAGGTACAAGTCGGTATTTGAAATATATCCAAAAGGTGATGGGATGTTGTTCGACTTGTCAATGATTTAAAAAAACACACGCGCTAGAACCCAAAAAACATCGGGTCGGGTCGGCGACTTTTCTTCATGCTACGTGTCGCTAAAATATTGATGGCCGAACGTAGAGGAGCGTACGTTCACCAGACCAAATAAAAGTTCCACGGCATCACCTAAGCTAGTGGAGCTGCATCCAACAAATTAGGACCACTAATCTCCAACTAACCAAAACACATCAACGCTACCTACACCTGTAAAGTAAAAAGTAGCACTCTGCACACATATCACATCTTCTACTTTATATACTTTTTTTTTGGGACATTTAGGCCATTTAAGGCAAACTCACACACACAACACATACACAAAGACTCGAACCCAAGACCTCTTAGTTGGAAGCATAGGCTCTCAACCAAGAGGCTAAGGTGAGCTGTGTATTACTTTATATACAGTAACATCACATTGTAAAAGGGATTCTCTCAATACAGCAATTTCCAATGGCAATAGACTGTCTTTTGCAATTTCTATGCTGGTCACTGAATATAGGTTTCTCTGCTACTTACTTTAGCAGCTTTTACGATATATAGTTGCCAAGCAAGCATATGCAACCTCTGTAAATATGCGTAATAATGTTGAGTTGTTTCAAAAATAAAAATTTAATAGCTTGATATCAAAAAACTGTATTAAATTATTTTCTATTGGGCATTCGATAATAATTTCAAAATATGATGAGAAAAGGACCAATCAATTTCGATTATTTTATCTTATAAAGTATCAATTAAATTTACTTAAAATATGTAAAATTTCAATAATAAAATTGAATAATATGAAGCTGCGTGGAGCATTTACTAAGTAAAAAAGTCCCTTTGTAACTCGCCTTGTATCCTCTTAAATAGAATTGGTCTTGCACTATCACGATAAAATAAAAAACAAACAGCCTTCATCATTCATTGCAATGATATAAAGAGCACAAAACTTTTTTTTTTTGGATAAATCCGGGGCAAAAGCCCATGTATTAAAAATCAAAATTCAAATACAAGTAACCTCTAAGGAAGAAAAAGCAACTTTAAAAGATGGGAAAGTTGATTTGCAAGATCATAATTTCAAGAGAGGCAAAATGCTTAAAATGAGCGTTAAGCACAATACTTCAAAATGGAAATAAAAAAGCAACACATTTGGCTGAAAAGATCACAAGTTGATCAACTCAAATGTTCAACAACCCAAATATTCTGAATTATTAATGAAGCAAGCAAACAGTAAGATACTAAGAAAAGACCATAAGAAAACAATAAGCCATAAGTGCATCTACGTACTGCCAATACACCAACACTCATGCTATTTATATCCTTCAGGAATCAATATCCTTAAAAGCTCTCGGATTTCTCAAACTCAGCTCAGGCTATGCGCCTGCAAATGGTGACCCCATCACCGATGCAGACCTGCGAAAGTTCGACCCTTGGATCCGCGGCCAGCTGCTTGTTTAGCTTGATGATGCTCTCTAGGTTATAGTTGATCCAATCTGGATAGTTCGGTTTTGGCGAGCCAGTGACGGTTCCGAACCAGAGCGTGTTATCATACAGAATCAGGCCATTAACTTTGACTAGCTTCAGCAACCTTTCATGGTAATTGTGGTAGTTAGTCTTGTCAGCATCCACAAATGCAAAATCAAAGAGATCATCTTCCTTCACCTGCAATTATTTCAACCAAAAATATGCTCTTGTTAATCATTAGAATGCATACATGAACTAGTACGGTTCTGTTGTTACTGTTATTCCTTATTTCTTAGATCTTTCAACAAACTATACAATTAATATTACAAACTCATTACTTTCATAAAGATGGTCTGATTCAAATGATTAAGTAATCATGTAAGATTATAAGAAATAAGCATTCATAACATGAGAGATTATTCTATGTGGACATCAGACATAGAGAACCACCTAATTTTCTCTCTATCTATAGTAAAAACACAGTCAAACTGCAGCTGTTACAACTGTGCTTTGACTACAAACAAAGAGAAAACCTGATGGTTCTCTCCGTCCGATCTCCACACAGAATAAGAAGTACCACAATTGGGCGGACCCTTACTCAAATGATACAGAAAGCCCTAACGACTAAAAAAAATACTAGTATAACCTACTTTTGAACTTAATTCATAGTAACTCCAAAACTAAGCAGCAGCTAATAAAGGGAATGACATTCGCTACCTCCTCAACCAATTTGTCAAGGGCAGGAAGACCTTCTGATTCGATGAATTCGATCTTGTGCTCAACTCCTGCTTTCTGGATAAAAGGTAGGCCGATTTCATAGTATGATCTATTGATATCGATCGCCGTAATCTAAATCAAGAATAAA